GTAAGTGGGTTAATCTCATTAGATTGTTAGAGTAGGACTTGCGAACAATGGGGTGCATTGACGTTGTGCCAGGCTTATGCAATGTATGATCATATAATGTAACCAAACCCCCATTATTTTTGTCTAGATTAGGTGTTTTTAAAAAAAACAAACAAAAAAAAACAAACAAATACAATCTGTGAGCGTTGAAGCGGCTGTTTAGTGGATGAGTGAGTGTGCTGGACCTTGTGTAATATATATATTTCCTGGTATTACCTGTTGGTGGGGAAGAGAATAAAGACAAGTAAAGCTAATGAGTGAAGAGTCAGCCATAAGGGTTCTGCTAAATATTTATTGGCACTCCCTAAGTTGAGCAGAGTGTGCATACAAGCTTTCAAACTTACCTTTTTACACTGTTTGCACAGTTGTATATATACATATTTTTTTTCTTTTTGGTAACATTGTAAGAGATCCAGACCAAGACGTTTTGATATATTGGTAGTATTGTGTGGGATTTTGGCACTTGACAGAATGTGTGGCTTTGCACATTAAATGTGTTCTGTAACTTGAAAAAAAAAAAATCACCTATTTAGGTAAAATTTATATGTATGTTAAATGTTTTTAAATGTTTTATTAATATATACCAATGCTTAGTACTTGAACGGAAATGTACATTAAACACCAGTCATGCAAGCTGACAGACTTTATAACGTGTTGTCTTGACATGTTCAACATTGAGATTCAAGCACTCAAGTGAAGCTTTAAAAAAATATTCATGAAGCAATAAAGGTTAGCTCATCTGCAATGATACATATAATTTAATATCTTTGCAATCATGCTCTGACTCTCAAAAAACATTTAATGATTTTCTGGGAATTTAAACTTCAAGAGACATTATTTTTTATAGCAACAAATAAATAGAAAAATAAAAAGAAGGAAATAAAGAAGAAAAAGAAGGATTTATGGATATACAGTGATGTAAAAAAGTATTTGATCCCCTGCTGATTTTGAACGTTTGTTCACTGACAAAGAAATGATTAGTCAATAATTTTAATGGTAGGTATATTTTAACAGTGAGAGACAGAATAACAGCAAAAAAATCCAGAAAAACATGTTATAAAAGTTATAAATTGATTTGCATGTCAATGAGTGAAATAAGTATTTGATCCCCTATTAATCAGCAAGATTTCTGGCTCCTAAAGGGAGTGCTTCTAATCTCAGCTTGTTACCTGTATAAAAGACACCTGTCCACAGAAGCAATCAATCAATCAATCAATCAATCAGATTCCAAACTCTCCACCATGGCCAAGACCAAAGAGCTGTCCAAGGATGTCAGGAACAAGCCTGTAGACCTACACAAGGCTGTAATGGGCTACAAGTCCATCGGCCAAGCAGCTTAGTGAGACGGTGACAACAGTTGGTGCGATTATTTGCAAATGGAAGAAACACAAAATAATTGTCAGTCTCCCTCGGTCTGGTGCTCCATGCAAGATCTCATCTCTTGGAGTTTCAATAATCATGAGAACAGTGAGGAATCAGCCCAGAACTACACAGGGGGATCTTGATGATGAGCTGAAGGCAGCTTGGACCATAGTCACCAAGAAAACAATTGGTATCACACTACACCGTGAAGGACTGAAATCCTGCAGCGCCCGCAAGGTCCCCCTGCTCAAGAAAGCACATATACAGGTCCATCAGAAGTTTCCCAATGAATATCTGAATGATTCACAGAAGAACTGGGTGAAAGTGTTGTGGTCAGATGAGACCAAAATCGAGCCCTTTGGCATCAACTCAACTTGCTGTGTTTGGAGGAGGAGGAATGCTGCCTATGACCCCAAGAGCACCATCCCCACTGTCAAACATGGAAACATTATACTTTGGGGTGTATTTTTCTGCTAAGGGGCAGGACAACTGCACCACATCAAAGGGACGATGGACGGGGCCATATACTGTCAAATTGTGGGTAGGAACCTCCATCCCTCAGCCAGGGCATTGAAAATGGGTCGTGGATGGGTATTCCAACATGACAATGACCCAAAACACAGCCAAGGCAACAAAGGAGTTGCTCAAGAAGAAGCACATTAAGGTCCTGGAGTGGCCTAGCCAATCTCCAGACCTTAAGCCCATAGAAAATCTGTGGAGGGAGCTGAAGGGATTAGACTCAAAACCTTAATGACTTGGAGAGGATATGCAAAGAGGAGTGGGACAAAATCCCTCCGGAGATGTGTGCAAACCTGGTGGCCAACTACAAGAAACGTCTGACCTCTGTGATTGCCAACAAGGGTTTTGCCATCAAGTACTAAGTCGAAGGGGTCAAATACTTATTTCACTCATTGACATGCAAATCAATTTATAACTTTTTTGACATGCCTTTTTTCTGGATAATTTTTTGTTTTTTTGTTGTTTTGTCTCTCACTGTTAAAATACACATACTATTAAAATTATAGACTGATCATTTCTTTGTCAGTAGGCAAATGTTCAAAATCAGCAGGGGATCAAATACTTTTTTCCCTCAATGTAAAGAAAGATTACAATTAAATAGTCAATACAGTGGATTGATGACTAAGCTGTATTTTTCCATTCATCGCTGATTTTAATAAAAGGTTTTGCATATCGAAGTCAAACGAAAGAGAACCATGCTTTAAATGCTCAACATGTGCAATTTGTACCATATCAAATTTTTGTTTAAATGTGTCCGAATTTCCAAAATTATTGAAACAGAAATCAAAATGAACAAATTTGAAATGAATCTAAACAAATTATTTGGGATCCATTGATTTAATAATAAGAACAAATTAGGGAGTTTCTTACCTTTGCTCTTTTAACTGTTTAGTAGACAGCTTCCTAATTTGTATCCTTATGGAGGACTGCCAACATTAAGGGTGAGGGTAAGAAATTAGGTAAATTCTTTTTTCATAAATTCTTTATTTGTGAAAGTGTTTCATTTCTTTTGGTTTTTGGGTAAATGGGGGTTACAGACACATTATGATAAAACATTATACAGTGTACAGCAACTGGTGTCAATTTCTACACATAGGTCAAAATAATTTCAGTTTTTTTCCTTTTTTTTTTTTTTTATAATTTCTTTATTTTTCACAGGTTACAACTTTACATATTGTTGTACATACGGTAATCATTACAAATAGTGCAAAGGCAGTAAATATAAAAATTATTACAAACTACAAGGTCCATAGTTGGAACAAGAGTTAGATGAATACCAAAGCAGAGTATGTAGCTTCTGTTTGTAGAAACCAAGGTGGTCTTCTAAATAAATCAAACTTGTGTTTCCCAACTAATAACCTACAATCACACTTAAGGCACACCTGACATACTTGTGGCAGAGGGTGGGGGGAGGCAGGGGGTTGCGTCTCATGTCCATAAGATGTGTTAAATTTATGCCAGGGAAGCCACACCTCTTCATATTTGTCAAAGGACAATCTGTCTGGGAGGAACCCTTTTTCCATTCTATACTGAAATTTGACCTGTAAACTTATTTTGTTCCAGCTCAGAGGGCCTATTTTCCTCCAGTTTCTGGCAATTAATCATTTCGTGGCCATAAAAATATGAATCAGAAGGGTTTTTGCATTATTATTGCCAAGGGGGAAGCCTATATGGAATAATAGCATATGCGCTGTTAATGTGTCTTCCCTGTTATAAGTAAGATTTAGCAATCTAGAGAGAGTCTCTGCTCCTCACACTGCCACCAGATATGTGAAAATGTACCCATAGCTTTGCCATAGCGCCAGCAATCAGGTGATACATAAGAATCCATTCGTGAGAGACGAGATGGGACCATGTACCAGCGGTAAATAAGTTTGTAATATACCTCTGATATGGTTACACTGTGTATGATTCTTTTTACTAAAATAAAGCCCTGTATCCAATTTTCCCAAGCACAAACAAAGTTCTTGTTCCCATTTTATCATTGCTGGGGCTTTTTCTTTATGCTGCTGGGTGTTAACAAATCCAGCGAACCTGGAAAACATTTCATTACTTAAGTGCTGAGCCAAAAACTGGTCTATTGGAGTTGGCCTTGCTAAGGCTTTACCATTTAAAAAGGATTTCAATCTCAGATAGTTGACTATCTCCCTATGGGGGAGATTAAATTTAAATTGTAATAAAGTGAACAGGGAAATTGTTCCTCCATCTGTTAATTCTGAAAGAACTTTCAAACTGTTATTTTACCATTCTTGAATGTTTAAGTTTTCCAGGTAATATTTTAAACATTCTCTCCGTACAAAATCTTTTCTTCAGATATTTAACTGTGGATATCAGAGTTTGAATAATCAGATTATCTGAATTTAAGTTTTTAATAAACACACTATCATAGTTTATAAGATTACATGGCTCTATGTTGTTTAATCCAGCTCTCTCTAGATTGAGCCAGGTTTATCTGAGAGGGGAGAAATTATCGGTGGCGGAAAAATTAACCATTGCACTTTATAAATATAATCTTTGTACGTCTGGAAAGGACACCCCGCCCTCCTTCTTTGACCTCTGTAACATTGCCAGAGCTATTCTGGGACGTCTATCATGCAATCAGGGCCGGTGCAAGGATTTTTGCTGCTCTAGGCAAAAGAAGGATTTGCCGCCCCTTCCCCGAACATCGCAATGCCCCACCCATGAACTAATGCCAGTGCTGCACACAGTGTGTGTTTACATTAAAAAGCCTGCAGGGACAAACTATAGACACCAGAACAACTTTATTAAGCTGCAGTGGTTCTGGGGACTATAGTGTCCATTTAATGTGAGGTAAATTAGAGATTAGTGTCACTAATAATATACTAGATTGCCTACTTACAACCAGATGAGGATGATGATGGGCTCTGGCTCCACTGGTCTGGTGTAGAACAGGATCTCTGGAGGCTGTTTGTAACTGTGGTCACAAAATTCAATGTTCTGGGAGAACGGGAAGCAGCTCCATTTTTTGGGGCCTCTTACACAGCTCAAGGTCTGGGCCCCAGGGCCTGACGGTGAGTATGCCCATAAAGCCCACCCATAAGTCCACCTACATGTTCCACCCATGAGTTCGCTCACAGGGAGTAGAGTGTGTAGGGGATGTGTTATGTGTTACTGTAGAGGATCTAATGTGTGTGCTTACGGAATGTAGTGTATAGGGATACCAGTTTGTGTAGGTGATGCAGTGTGTTTGTGTGTAGTGGAAGCAGTGTGTGTGTGTGTGTGTGTGTGTGTGTATAAGGGATGTATTGTGTGTTTCTTGTTGTGTGTAAGGGATGCATTGTGTGAATCTGTGTTTGTATGCATAAGGGATGCAAAGTGTGTTTGTGTATGTAAGGGATGCAGTGTGTGTCTGTAAGGGGTGCGTTGAGTGTGTGTAAGAGATGCATTGTGTTTCTGTGTGTGTGTAAGAGAAGCAGTGTGTGTTTGCATGTGTGTGTAAGGAATGCATTGTGTGTGTCTGTGTATATGTGCAAATGATGCATTGTCTATGTGTAAGGGTTGCATTGTGTGTTTTTCTGTGTGTAAGGGAAGCATGTTGTGTTTCTGTGTGTATAGGGATGCATAGTGTGTGTTTGTGTGTGTGTGCGTGGTGTGAAAGAGCTCCCTGTCCCCCTGTCCTAGAGAGCTCTCCCTTCCATTCCTTAAAGATCTCCCCTGCCCCTTAGTGGTCTCTCCTTTCCCCCCCACCTCCCTTAGTGGTCTCCTTTTCTCCCCGACTTTCCATTAGTGGTCTCTCCTCTCCCCCCACCCTTCCCTAGTGGTCTATCCTCCACCCCCCTCCCTTAGCGGTCTCTCCTCACACCCCTCCCCTAGTGGTCTCTCCACCGCCCCCTCCCTCCTTTAGTGGTCTCTCCCTCCCCTACGTTCTCATCTCCCACCCCTTGTGTTCTCCTCTTATTCCCCCCCTCCCTGTGTTTTCCTCTTATTCCCCCCTCCCTGTGTTCTCCTCTTCTTCTCCCCCCTGTAATCTTCTCTTCTTCTCCCCCCTCCCTGTAATCTTCTCCCCTCCCCCTTGTAATCTTCTCCCCCCTTCCCTCCCTGTAATCGCTGCTTCTCCCCCCGTAATCTTCTCTTCTTCTCCCCCCATAATCTTCTCTTCTTCTCCCCCCCAATCTTCTCCCCCCTCCCATCAATCATCTCCCCCCCACTTCCCTCCCATCAATCATCTCCCCCCCTCCTTCCCTCCCATCAATCATCTCCCCCCTCCCTCTCTCTTATCAAATCTCCCTCCCCTCAATCATCTCCCCATCCATCATCCCCCCTCCTCCCTCCCATCAACCTCTCCTCCCTCCCTCCCACTCAATCATCTCCCTCCCTCCCCATCAATCATCTCCCCCCTCCCTCCCCATCAATCATCTCCTCCCTCCCTCCCCATCAATCATCTCCCCCCCCTCCCTCCCATCAGCTTCTCCTCACCTCACCTCCCCTGCCCTGCGGTAGCGTGGCCGAGCTCCTTTCCGGTCCCGCGACCCGGCGGGACTGACAGGAAGTGCACACTGGTGCCGGGTCGCGGGACCGGAAAGGAGCTCGGCCACGCTACCGCAGGGCAGGGGAGGTGAGGCACTGTGGCAGCAGCCTGAGCGCTCTCTATAGAGCGCTCAGGCGGCTGCAGAATTTAAAGGGCCGGCGATGGGGCCCCCTCCTATATGGCGCCCTAGGCGGCTGCCTAGTTCTCCTTATAGGAAGCGCCGGCCCTGCATGCAATATGTAGTCAGAGAATTGTCTTTGGAAACCTTGTATCGTCTGGGAGTCTATCATCAGCGGGATATTCCTGAATAAATATAGAAGTTTATGTAGTACTTAGGAGTTAATTACTTAAATTCTGCCTAGCCATGAAAGCTCCGTACCTTTCTAGATTTTAAAGTTTTCCTTAAATTGCGTAGCCAGTGCAGAGTAACTGAGTCTATTAATTAATGTGAGATCTAGGGATAACCTAACACCTAGAGAATATATGTACTTCGCCTCCCAATCTAGCTTGACATTCTCCTTAAAAAGATCCAAGCTAGGTCCATTTAGGCCCATTTTCAGAATTTGTGTTTTTTTAATATTAGCTTTATAGCCGGATAGTTTGCCAAATTCTTCTACTAATGAGAGCAGCTTTGGCAAAGAGCCCTCAGGGTCCATAAGAGTCAGGAGCACATCATCAGTGTATAGTGTGATATTTATCTCTGATTTATTTATCATCAGACCTTTAATATCTGTGTTCAGTCTAATAGCTGTTGCGAGAGGTTCAATGGAAAGAACGTATAAAAGTGGGGCTAATAGACAACCCTGCCGGATCCCATTCCGGATTGGGAACCAGTCCGACTGGAACATAAAAACTGGAACCCTGGCTTTTGGGTCCCCATATAAAGCCATGGTGTAATGCCAAAGGAATCCAAAACTTGTTCCAGATAGGACCACCCCTCCCGGTCGAAGGCTTTCTCGGCATCGAGGGCAATCAGAGCAAAAGGAAAAGTTTGCTAGCCAGCATAATCAATAGCATTGAGAATCTTTCTAATGTTCTCTGATGTGCTCCTCCCCCTCACGAACCCAGACTGATCAAGATGAACGATGTGCCGTACAACCCCCTTGAGCCTATTGGCCAAGATTCTAGAATATATCTTTATATCTAGATTAATGTGTGATATGGTATAATAGATACCAGTGGCATACACACAATCTATGGGGCCCCGGTGCAAAACTGATCCATGGGCCCCCCCCTCCCTAACTGATCCATGGGCCCCCCTCCCCTGAACCGTGCCCCCCATCCCCCTGACACATACATACATACAGACACACACAAACATACACACAGACAGACACACACACACACATACATACACCCCTCGACAGACACATACATACAGACACACATACATACAGACACACACACATACACACACAGAGACACACACACATACAGAGACACACATACATACGTGGCACCATGGATTGTGTGTACGCCACTGCATACAGAGACACACACGTACATACAGAGACACACACACATACAGAGACACAGACACACATACAGAGAGACACACACATACAGAGACACACACACAGAGAGACACAGACACACACACATACAGAGACACAGACACACACACATACAGAGACACAGACACACATATACAGAGACACAGACATATACATGGACACAGACACACACATACAGAGACACAAACACATACAGACATATAGAAAATGTTTCCTACCTTGTTACTTTCCCTGGGGTCCAGTGGGGGCTCAGCCGGATGGGAGTCAGAGTTCCCACTCTGACTCCCTCCTCCTTCTCCTTCCTCCCGTGAGGGCTCTATCTGATTGCTGGGAAGAGTGACGAGCAGTCACATCCTCCCAGCACTGTGATGATGTAATCACAGGGGGCCCGGTTGCGCTGTTAAAGCACCCAGTGCTGACCGGGCCCCCTTACAATCCATCTCCATCGGGTGTCCCTGACAGCATGGGCCACCCGATGGACCCCTCTATATGCGGCTCCGGCGGTCTGCCACTCTGGCCGGGGCCGAAAATTTGGCAGCTGGCCTGCTACCCAGTCGCGGTACGTACGCCACTGGTAGATACCATATAGATGGGATTCCTGAGAGTGCGAGGAGTCCATCGCTCAAGCCTGCAGCCGGGTGGTTACGAGTAGAGTTGAGTAAACCCGAACTGAAAAGTTTGGGTTCGTACCAAACATTATGTTTTTGGACATATCACTGTATGTTCGGGTTGGAGTTCAGTGTTCGGCGATTTAATGACACGTTTTGAAAGGCTGCAGGGCAGCCAATCAACAAGCATTTGACTTGTGTGCCCTTAGAAGCCATCACAGCCATGCCGGCGGGTGGGGGCACTAAATAACAATAAGGGGGGGGAACTACTGTCCTCTCCCCCAGCCCCTGAGCGGTGGGTGGGGGCCAAAAATAAAAATTGGGGGGGACCTAATGGTCTCCCCCCAGCCCCCACCCCTGCGCGGTGGGTGGGGGCCCTAAATAACAATAAGGGGGGGCCATAAATAAATATTGGGGGAATCTAACGTCCACCCAATTGGCCCCCACCCCTGTGCAGCGGGTGGGCCCTAAATAACAATAAGGGGGACCTACTGTCCTCCCCCCCCGGCCCCCATCCCTGAGTGGTGGGTGGGGGCCATAAATAAAAATTGGGGGGGACCTAATGTCCTCCCTCCCGGCCCCCACCCCTGAGCGGTGGGTGGCGGCCATAAATAAATATTGGGGGGACCTAATGTCCTCCCCCCGGCCATAAATAAAAATCCCACCAGGTAACTAGGGGTTCCCAAATGCCTAGTCACCCCCCTCCCCCCAAAAGAATTACCCCTACCTACCCCCCTCACCCTAAAAATTAAGTAACCAATCAGAGTGTTATGAGTCAAATTACACAGCATGGGAAAATTCCAAAGAACTTTCCCGCGCTGTGTAAAATGACACAGAGCACTCTGATTGGCTGGATTTCAAGCTAACCAATCAGAGTGCTCTGTGTTTATTTTACACAGCCTGGGAAAGTTCTTTGGAATTTTCCCATGCTGTGTAATTTGACTCATAACACTCTGATTGGTTACTTAATTTGACTCAGAGTGTTATGAGTCAAATTACACAGCGTAGGAAAATTCCAAAGAACTTTCTCACACTGTGTAAAATGGCACAGTGCACTCTGATTGGTGGATTTCAAGCCAACCAATCAGAGTGCTGTGACAGGTAAATGTAGAGACTTACCTGTCAGTCTCTTCATTTACCTGTCAGAGCACTCTGATTGGATGGCTTAAACCCACCAATCAGAGTGCGCTGAGCCTAATTGCAGGGCAGGCAAGGCTTTATAAGCCTTCCCCCTGCCCTGCAGAGTTCAGTCTGCATGGAGCCCTCCATGGGTGAAGAAGGATTATGAATTTTTGCGTTTTTTTTTTTTTTGTGCGTCGGTTATTCCGGATTTTTATTTGGTCTTTTTTGGGGCTGAAAAAATTAAAAAAGACATCAAATGGTAAGTCTATTTTTTTTAACAGGTATTTAGACAAGGGTCCCCCCTCATTGGGTGGGGGCCGGGAAGGAGGACATTAGGCCCCCACCCCCGAATTTTTATTTATGGCCCCCACCCACCGCTCGGGGTGGGGGCAGAGGGGGAGGACATAAGGTCCCCCCAATTTTTATTTATGGCCCCCACCCACCGCTCAGGGGTGGGGGCTGGGGTTGAGGACAGTAGGTGTCCCCCGAATTTTTATTTATGGCCCCCACCCACCGCTCGCGGTGGGGGCGGGGGGAGGACATCAGTTACCCCCAATT